TGTTTGTAATAATTATTACATTCTCTCTCTCTCTCTCTCTCTCTCTCCTCCCCCTTCTCTCTCTCTTCCCTCTCCTTTTCCCTCTGCTGTGTATTTTTGTGGCTTAATTAGCTCACAAATGTTAAGTCACCACCTTTATTTGTAAAACACAGAAGGACCCTCAATATTCCAGGCATTTTTGTTGTCAATTAAATTTTGTGATGTGAATTCTCCGACCAGCCTTCTTGGTTTTTTTGCCATCTTTTCATATTAAACCCTCTGTGTTCTTTTGTTTTAGGTCTCTCACAGGTGGGAGGTCGTGGATGGAATCTGGATTGCAGTTGTCCAGGTGGCACGCTGCTCCTCTCCCTCCCCTCTCCCTCCCTTCTCTTCTCCATCTTGCAGACTTATGGCTTCTGTCTTTCTCCTTTCTATTCATGACTCTACTCTTAGTTTTAAAATAGTCTTACATTTTTATTTAGTTAATAATCAAAATCTAAGCAGCTATTTTGGGTTCCATTTTGCAAGAAACAAGAGCCGCTCTTTCCTCCTTTCTGTCCCCGGGCCCTTTCCAGGTGCACTCACTTCCACGGAACCACAAGCCATTGCCTCAAGTTGAAGTCCCCCGCTCTTCTGTCATACGCTCTCCTTTGCTGGCATTGTTATGATTATATTCACATTTGTGTCAGCTGCAAGCGTTCTCCCAGTAGTCGCCGTCTCTTTATTCTCTTTTTCTCTCTAGCTCCAGGATCCCTAGTGGTACTGTTTTAGAGACTGATCTAAGCCGCTCCTTTAAATGGGTGCCTTGGTCAAGCAGCTTCTATGGAATGAGGTTGTGGGCATCATTCTGGAAGGTTTCAGGCCTGGCATACCAGGGTCAATAATCCCACAGTCTCCAGACACCTTTCAGTGGAGGACATAGGATTTAGGCTTAATTTGAGCTGGTTTTAAGGAAATCTGTTTATCTTTGTTTTTGAATTTTTCATAGATCTTTTTTCATGAAATGGAAGTGCTGTCCCGCACTGTTCTCTCCTATTGGTCTCTACATTGCTCTTCCCAGAATTTCAGTTTCAAGAGTGGAAAGTTTTCTTCTATTATGTCTGTGGTCATTCTTTTTGTTTTCTTACTTCATCTTGTCTGCCCAGTGCCTGTTTCACCTGATTCTCTGCCCCCTCCCTCCCTCCCTCCCTCCCTCCCTCCCTCCCTCCCTTCCTCCCTTCCTTTCTCCCTCCTTGACAAGGTTTGCTCTATAGCCCAGGCTGGACTCAAATTCCTGATCCTCTTGCTTTGGCCTCCTAAGTGCTGGGTTGACCGGAATGTACTACCCAGCCCAGCTGCATCTTTTGTTTCATTTGCAGTTAGGAATGTTATCTATTATTCCTTTCCAGTTTTTCATTTCTGCAGCTAAAAGTCTGATGTTTATTGCTTCCAAAGACTTCATGAGATCTGTCATGTTTCGCCTTGTCCATGCTTGAGAGAGCTTGCCTTTTGCCGCACAGAGAAAAGCAGGTCATTTTGTTCTGATAGATAGCTCACTGGGGACAAGGGGGCAGACCTACTCATCACCTGGGGGCTTTAAAAGCAGGTTCTGAGCTGGGTGGTGGCAGCGCACACCTTTAGTCCCAGCACTCAGGAGGCAGAGGCAGGCAGATCTCTGTGAGTTCAAGGCCAGCCTGGTCTATAAAGCAAGTTCTGGGACACCCAGAGCTGTTACACAGAGAAATCCTGTCTCGAAAAACAAAGCAAAATAAAACAAACAAACAAACAAACAAAAAAAAAACAGGTTCTGGAGGGTGGATAAACAGCCCAGTACAGGAAAAACATGGGTTGATGGGTGGGTATGTAGCTGAATGAAAAGTAACAGTTGTTTGAATGGGTGTGGGCAAGAGGATGGGCACCGGCTGGGCTAATGGTGAGGTGCATTAATTGGTACATCACTGTGTTCCTCAGTAGATGCTTGTCCTGGTGGTCAGAATGGGGTGCATGAGTCTATGGGTGCCTGAGTGCACCAGTGGACTGTTTGGTGGTAGGATGGTCACTAGGTGGGTGCTGTGTCCAGTGACTGGTTAGTTAGTTTTTAGGTGAACATCACGTAGATAGATTGCATATTCATGGTGTTTGGGGGTATGGCTGCCTGGGTATATAAGGATGGATGGGTTTGTGTATCTGTGGGTGGGAATGTTTGGAGGAAAATATGGCCATAATGGGGGTTGAGCTGGGTTGAACGGGGCTGATGGAGGGTGGCTGACAGGTGAGACTGAGGGTACAGATTTTAAATGGATGTCTGGGGTGGTGGCTGTAGTGGTAGATGTTGGGTGGGTAGATTAGTAGTTGGAGAGCTGGCTGTGGAGCTGGCTGACTGTCCAAGCAGAAGCAGGTCCACCACACAGTCTTCCTGGTTGCTGTACCTCAGATCTTACAGACCTGAATGGGATATTTTGCCTTCCTACTCCCTTTCCTTATCCCTGACTGGTTGCTGGCAGGGTCCTGGCCCAAGGGATGAGGAACCAGCATGCACTTCCAGGGAGTGGGCCTGCTCAGACAGCTGTGGCCAGGCCACCTTAGATGACTATTGGTCATCCAGAAATGGTGTTCCTCAGCTTTTTGAGTCAGAGATCGGGCTGCTTGGGAACTCAGGGGTGAAACTGAAATCATTTTACTACACTGCTGTGGGATGGTCTGTATGTCAAATCTGTTGCTCTGATTGGTCAATAAATAAAACACTGATTGGCCAGTGGCCAGGCAGGAAGTAGGTGGCACAAGGAGAGAGGAGAATTCTGGGAAGCGGAAGGCTGAGGCAGAGAGACACTGCCAGCTGCCGCAATGACCAGCAGCATGTGAAGACACCGGTAAGCCACCAGCCATGTGGCAAGGTATAGATTTATGGAAATGGATTAATTTAAGCTATAAGAACAGTTAGCAAGAAGCCTGCCACGGCCATAC